AGTTATTTTTAAGGAGTATTGAACCATTTGAGTTGGAAAGAAAGACAAAGAAAAACCTGCATGTACTTTACAACAAACAGCTTACATTGCAGATGGGGGTGGGGAACAGGTAGATCATATTTTTAGAGCCAGCCAGTTTTGACATTGGTGCCTATCTTACACCCATTTAAGTATTCATTGTCGTCAATGAGAAGAGGATAAGTCCCAGTGTCTCTCTACTACAGAGTAAGGAAGAAACAGTTGATTCAGAACTGCATCTTTAAAAACACATGTACACACATTCCAATGAAAAGACCCAGGAGGCCTGTAAATATATTTCAGTAGGTAATGTGTTCTACCCTTCAATAAAATTCTGTAGGCAGAGAATACATTTTACATCTGAATTTTCCCACTTTTTTTAAAGTTCTTAATTTTTAAATGATATTTATTGCTATTAGAGAGACAAGGTGGGGGAGGCAATATATTTTATTGGACCAACTTTTTGAGTTTACACAGAACTTGTCTTCAGGTCTCACTGCAAACAACATTTATTGCTATGTAATATGACTTTGTGGTTGGGGCTTTTTTTAAATTTATGAATTTATTAAAAACTGAACAGAATATGATTTGTGTCATTTCAAACAATAGAAACAACTACTTGGTTCAGGGAGTTGAACAGGGGAGATAAAAATATGAACCAAATGATCAACCTTTCCATTTTTATTGACTGTGGCTGGAAAAAAAATGAAAATGATGCCAGACACAGTCATGTTAACACTAGAGATAACATTTTAATTTTTAGCAGGGTTATTCATGTATTTATTTTCATTTTATCAGGTACTTCTAAGGAAATTTTTAAAATATATATCAGACGCACACAGTGTTGTGACCTTTTTTCATCGTTGATGTAAACAACATAATTGCTTACACTGATTAAAAAAACACATACAAATAAGTTAGTCTTTCTTGCTACACAGAAATCCAGTTCTTTAAAAGTAGCACAAAGGGAAAAAATAAAATAAAGAAAAGCAACCTCCATATCTCCCCAAATCTTTCTAAATGGTGGGGCAAAGAATAATAAAACACAGAGCTCCAAGAATTGTCTTTTTTAATGCTGTCTGATCAATGAAATTCTTGTCCCAGTAGACAAACACCCTCACAAACTCCCTGCCGTATGTTTATGTGGCTGGTATGGTGCATTATGTGCTAATGTTCCAATGAAAGAGCCTCCCTCCAAAATACAGAGTGGACAATGCACTGTCGGAGGGATTGGCAAGCGAGTGAGGAAGGGACACATCTCACATGTCAAAACAAAGTTCCTATCTGTCTCCAGAAGAACGAACAACAGATACAGAAGGCCATTTGATTACTAGCATTTACTCCAATGGGAGTATCATTTGTTAGCGAGTCCATAGGTTTGGCACTAAATCTTATATTCCAACTCCAGGGTTGAAAAATTAGATTATCCTTCCATTGGCCTCAATAACTATGTTTGCTAAAGAAAGAAAGAAAAAAAAAGATGTAGAAGATGACATGCATGTCTGAGGCTGAAGAAAAGCGTATTTGCGCCCAGTACTTTGGAGAAAATGTTTAGCTGCAGCTCATCCTTATGTAAATACTGTTTCTGTAGTTTTGCCAAGGTCAGTGTCAGCTTGGATAACTTTCTGTATAAATGCCAATCATGCAAATAAAAGTTGCACAAGACAGCACTAACATACAAATCAGTTGCATTCACAAAACATTTTATTGTTTGCTTGTTCTAGCCAGAGTCTTCCCATTTTTCCTCCTTCTCTTGCTTTCTTTGACCTTGAGTTTTCTTCCTCACCCTGTTCAGTAAGACGGAACCATTAGAGTAGGGTGGGCAAACTACGGCCCGCGGGCCACATCCGGCCCGCCGGACCGTCCTGCCCGGCCCCTGAGCTCCTGGCCCGGGAGGCTCACCCCAGGCCCCTCCCTTGATGTTCCCCCTCCCCCGCAGCCTCAGCTCACTCACTCTGCCGCCGGCGCAATGCTCTGGGCAGCGGGGCTGTGAGCTCCTGGGGCAGCGCAGCTGCAGAGCACCTGGTGCTCTGTGCTGCGTGGTGGTGGCGGAGGCAGCGTGGCCTGGCTCCAGCCAGGTGGCGCGGCTGCAGCGCCACCAGTGCTCGAGGCAGCGCAGTAAGGGGGCAGGGAGCGGGGGGGTTGGATAGAGGGCAGGGGAGTTCGGGGTTGTGGTTGGGGGGGGTGGATGGTGGTGGTGGGGGAAACGGGGTTAAATGGGGGCAGAGGTCCCAGAGGGCAGTCAGGAAGGAAGGGGGGGTTAGATGGGGCGGCAGGGGGCAGTCAGGGGCAGGGGTTCTGGGGGCAGTCAGGGGACAGGGAGAAGGGGTGGTTGGATGGGGCAGGGGTTCCGGGGGGGGCCATCAGGAATGAGAGGAGGGGTTGGATCGGGTGGCGGGGGACCGGAGGCGGTCAGGGGACAAGGAGTGGGTGTGTGTGGATGGGGCAGGGGTCCTGGGGGAGGCCATCAGGGAACAGGGGGGGTTGGATGGGCCAGGAGTCCTGGGGGGGGGGGAGATCGGAGGGGGGGGCCGGGCCACGACCCCCTCCCCTAACCGGCCCTCCATACAATTTCCGAAACCCGATGTGGCCCTCGGGCCAAAAAGTTTGCCCGCCCC